TTATGTCTGAGAGGATATGGTGAGTTTTGGCAGGACGGACTTGAGCTCCTGGCGGCAGGTTTCCTGACTCCACTGCACCACCTCGTCCAGGAGAGAGGAGTTGGTCTGGGACATGATGACAGCTGAGCGAGGTCAGAACGACTGTACACACAACACAATGATTGAGAACAATGGCAGCGATTGAGTCACCCAAAATGTCTCACAGTAAAAAAGCTTTAGGTGTATTTTTGTACAAAACATCACTGAGTGTGTAAACAAGAGAGCTAGCTTAACGGTGTGTTGTGCTAAACATTAAACATGGTTATTGTTAATTTAGATAATACGTATAGCTTCTTACCATAAATGACAGACGTTATCTTCTGTTCAGGAGCATTAAGCCACAACTACGGGTTTGTGTTGTCAAACGTCACCGTTAAATCTGTGTTTTAAATGTAGAAAACTGAAAGAAAACCGAGGTGTTTGTGGACAACAGGCAGAAACATAGCTCGCGCCGTTGTTTGAATCGGATGTGACGTAGGGAGCAAAGCTGCTCATCTACCCTCAGTCTGATTGGTTGAAAATGTTACACTGCAAAACTTTCAACCAGTGAGAGAACGCAATGAGGGAAAAGCGGTGAAAATAACAACTGTCGAGATGAAGCTTTAAATAAAAGGTGAAATATGAATATAATATTCGTACTAAATCAACAAATCTGTGAAAAGTTTTTATTTTTTTAAAGATAATATGGCTGCGAATCTTTTTTTGTTGTTGTATTGATCCAATCTCTTCCTTTTAAAGAACTTTATAAAGAGTAATTCATTAAGTGTACATGTAATGACCTATACAAAAACAATGGCTTCCCTTCAGAACAAATCCCCAAATCCAGTTTGATATATCCATGATCAATGAGACAGTCTCTGACAGGTATTTATTTTCTCATTTTAAGCTACATAATAATAGGTGAGGAGCCTTTTCCAATCTGTTTTCGTTTAGTAAAACCAAAAGTATGTTATGCACACTTGTTATATTAAGTTATGCTTTATTAATAAGTCTTTAAGAGCTATTAAGAATAGGTTGTTCATGAGGATTTGAGCCAAAAGCAACATGATTGGCCTAACCTCATAATGGGGTATTATAGTCTAATCCAAATAAAGAAATAACATAATTGAATAACAAATCAAGCTGACATGGCCACCAAGGGCCTGTAGGACACATTAAAACCATGCACCTGTCATCTGTTAGGGTTTTGGGTCTGTTCGGTTTAAAAGCAGTTTCTATCTTCTCAAAGTGAGCAAAACACATCTTTGATTGAGAAATGTCACTTCATGCTTATCCATTGTGACCTGGCGATGAACTCCGTGAGAGAGTAATAAAATGAATCACATCATGGATGAGTATTGGAAATCACAATTTCCGAGAGACATTGTTATGAACTTGATTTACTGGCAGTACACAATCCACTAAGCCCTTAAGAAAACACATAAGGACTATGTAGATCATGACTGAGATGTTTAGGAATGTTTAGATTATATTCTAATCAGTTATGGGAAGGCTGATATTCACCCATTAGCAGTCTGGAATTTCTCTTGACTCCGACCCCGTTGACTGCATAAAATCAGTGTTTTGTGGGCTATTGTTTCCCTGATAGGATCTTGAGTACTGAAGTAAAGCAGCTGGCTTCTGCTGCACCTTTGTTTCCCGACAGCCTGAGGTGTCTGCGGCTGGTGGCTCAGGAAGGGCCGGACTTTTTGTTTAGGAAACGGGACTCCACATTGATGTTTATCTCTCTTCACAAACAGCTCATTGGGATTTTGCATGCAGTGTACAGACCCTAAAAATGAAATATCAAGATAGTATTCTCCCCCAGCTGAATCAGGTTGCATGATCCACTCAATTTTGTAGTGTTTTTTTTAACATTAACATGACAAGTACTAATACAATTCCTGTACATTTGTGTGGCTTTACCAGGTGAAACATGTTTAGATCTGACGTGAAAAAAATTCAGATCTGACTAAACTGAAAATCTCAGAATTAAGTTTATTTTCTAAATTTTTCTTTAAATGTTGCATTGAAAAAAAAAAAAAAACGTGGGCCTAATCCTCTTCCGTACTTTTGCAGGCTGACTCAAAGCAATTTTCTGATTTTGTATTGCTTCCCAAAGAAAGAAATGTTCACTTTGTAATGATGGAAAGTGTCTTTCTTCTCCAAATGTACAATTATTTCAAAAATGATAAGCAACCCTGCATCTGCAACTGTGAGAGATATGTGCTTTTGGTGTAAGATCATTTAGAAAACAAATTAAAGTGTGAAGTAAAACTATTCCGTAAATTAGACTTTTTTTCATTTTACAATTCTTAATCAACTTCAAAGTCATTATCCAAGACATATTACAAATAATTTTTAAATTCTATTTTTGGGTTTATATTTTGTGAGATTGTAAAGATTAAGTAAGGCTGCTAAAACAATGACATAATTTGACCTTTTAACCATTGTGATTGTAATGGTTATGTTTTACCTGAAACCTCCTTAAACACTTACTGTAAAACCCATTTTCCAAGAGGATGGTTTCAGTGTAACACAATTGAAGTCTTCTTCCTCCCTAGCTGACCTCCCTGTTTGTAGATAATAGAGAGGTTATCTTCTTACAGGAAGCTGGCGCCGGATTGAGAATGGAAACTGGAAGGAAGAAGCCTTTTTGTTTTTCTTTCTTTGAGGTCGCTGGGCAGCCGGCAGAACTTTTGAGTATCAGAGTCTATGTTAGGTCTGCTGATGAGGGTCAAGGTGAATGGAGCTCTCTTCAGAGAATTGACAGCAGCTAACTCTGTTCATAGTCATCACAGTTACGCGCCACTCTTCCTTTAACTATTTTGTTTACAACTCACCCAGTGAGTCAGGAGCAGGAAAAAAAGTAATTGAAAGAATGAGCGCCACCGCTGGCATACGACGTGAACCTCATGTGGGGAAACCCAGAGGAAAAGGATGTAGATTCTAGTGATATTAATAGAACAATCTTATTATAAAAGGTTATATTTTGTAGATAACACCTTGAGTATAATATAGATTTACAAAACCAAACGTAAGCAGCTTATCAACACAGATTAGAACTTCTGATTTCTACCTTATGAAGGGTCAGAAATAGTTATCAATGTTTCCATCATAAAACCCAGAGGGATTTTCTTTTTCATGTTGATTTCACAGATTGATTCATCCTAAATAAAGTACTACAACAAATATTAGATGCATCACTATACAATGTTGTAATATGTTGTTGGTCCCCAGATGATGAATAACTTAGTGATCCCTGTCCTTCTCCCTCCGGTGCCAACAGCAGGTCAAGCCTTTCACTTATCCCGTGATATATATCAACAGCGTCCTCCAAGATAAAAAAAAACTACTTTGGTGAGCCTTTTTTCGGTAGCATCACTGCAAGAACTTTCTGTGTTTTCACTGAAAAGTCTCAACAGTTGAATGGACAGTCATGAAATCTGGCTCAGAAATGTCTCCCACCTTTCAAGATTAATTATAATAATTGAATAATCCTTTTACTTTTGCCTTTGCGCCACCATAAAGCCACATTTTCATTTGTCCATACATTACTTAGAACTAAATACCTGCCTAACTAAAGACATCAGCCTCAGCTGTACTTTGTGTTCAGTGCTTATAAGTAAACGTACTCATCATACCTGCTGTGGCTCTTTACTCATAACCTGTGTCCCAAAAACCTTCTACATACCAACCGTTTCATTTTACTGTCGTAGCAGTTTATATATATATCTACTTTATCATTGACTCCCAAATGACACAATATGTGTACCTTTGGTTGTCAATCAAATTGTGACTTTTGTACTGCACTGCAAATCATATTCTTTAATATTTAATACTTATTTTTAAATATTTTGGCAACTGTTTCACCACCAACCACAATGTATTTGAATGGTTTGCAACTGTAAAGCACCTTAACTTCCTTTGTGCATTTTCATCAACACAACCGAAACAATCAGAGATCAACCGTATTTATAATGAATGCAGTTTGCTTTGAGAATCATTGTTCTAAAAACACATAAAAACTAATAACCTGATATTTGTATTTGAGAAAAATGCTTTGTGTTCCTCAAACTGCTCAGTCCCCAGAGTGAAAAAATAGATCTCCTCACAGTTGTTTCACATTTCACTTTAGTCATTTAAAGGTTAGATAAAATACATAATATTAAACTGGATCAAATCTTTGATAAATGTATATTTGGGAGAGAAGAGAGGGGACCAGCCTTTGCTCAAATGTGTGTGCATGTTAAACCATGGCTCAGCTCAGGCTGTTTTATCCAGCTGTGATCTTATTTATAATTTTTGTCTCGAGTTTGTTTTTATTTCTGGCTTTTATTCATTATTGCTTTATTGTCTGTAAAGCTCTGTGGACTTCAGTTTGAAGTGTATCACCATTTAGCCTTACAAGCATGGACGCGGGAAGGGGGGGTGCAGCACCCCCATCTGCGAGGCTCCACTAGCACCCTCACCCCCAAACGCGGCGCACCTACAGTGTAAGCGTGCCAGTTTCTCCGCTGCGAGGCTCCACGAGAACCCCCCCCCCCCCAGTGCATCACAGTTTCGCCGCTGCGAGACGCTACTAGCACCCCCCGCACCCCCAACTCTGACTGACTTCCCGCGTCCCTGATTACAAGCACATGAAAGTGTGTAACCGTGAGTGCAAATGAAAGCCCCTCTTATCTCCTCTTTATAATTTCTAACAACAAACTTTCCCTCAGAGGAACAGGATGTGTTAGTGACTCCAACAGGCTCACCCCTTCCTGTATGGACTTCACGCTTGGCACCCGGCCCTTCAATTCTGATAAACTAAATCAGTCACTAAGCAAAAGTTAAATGAAACACTTTAATTACAAGAGGATTTATGTTAGAATAGACAATACCACATCCTTTACATCGTGCTGAATGAAAAGGAGAAAACGTGTAATCAAAGAGGACATTTTTGTGCTTTTTTTGTGCTTTTAGAGAATCAGGACCATCTATTATATGCAGAATGGTGTGTTTTATTTAAATTATGGTTGGACATAAGGATTGGAACTGATTAACATAGGCAGACATTTTAATTAGTTGCAGATTTACTCTATTTCTTGTCGTCAGACCAGGTGATCTCGTAGTCGCTGAAGGCACTCTTCAACTTCTCCGCAGACACAGAATGGTCTGCTTTTCCAAACGCCTGGAAATAAGTAAAAGCATATAACCATTAACATCACATGACATAGTATTTGTAGTGTATTTGATTCAGCTCTTAATGCATGTCCAATCAAATGAACTTACAGTTGATTCTCCAAACACCCTCAGTTTTTTCTCTTGGCTGTTGTGCTCTATCTTCCCTCCTCCAAGGCATTTACACTCCATCCCCAAGGCCTCCATAGCTGGATTGACCTTCTCAAATATATGATCTGTAAATAAATAAAATCATTAATCAAAACATGCAATCTGGTTGTTGAAAAAAACAAAACACTTTACAGTCATTTCTGTCTCATATGTTCTCTTTTATGGACGTTGGCTCCAGTATTTTTGCAATGCAATGCACTATGGTTGCAGTACATACAATACTGGTCTTTGCATGATATTTGCACCTAAAGTACAGGTGTCAATTCTGGTCACAGCTTTTTCATTTGCAGCTGATCTGACACACTCAGCAGCAAACTAAGGTTATGAACTTACTGTGATACTCTGCACTTTTTGTGCCTCGGACTATATCTTTATGCACATCCCCATCTTTCACTTTCACTGTGAGCAGAATGTACTTAAAGGTTCCCTCTGAGTCAATCTCTACCACGGGGATTTTAGCCAGGGCGTCTGCCATTGCAGCTGAAGTTATAGAGAAAGCTCCGGACAGTCTGGCACTGAGCAGAGGTCTACCGAGGACAGACAGCAACATGGGGCTCCTCACGAATTACTTTATTAGGATCGCGACTTCTATTTCCTGTCTTAAAGAGACAGACAAGCTGCACGCTGTCGCCATCACTGTGCAGGATAATGCAGGCGGCCCCGTGTGGCCAAAAGAGGGAACTGCTACACAAACCACAACACCTCTAAAAGATAACAGTGGTGCAATGTGGATGTACTAAAAAAGTATATGTAACTTCATACATAAAAGGTAACAAAAAGTACTGCACAAATCAAAAACCAAATCAAAGCAATACTAACCCTCCTCCCAGTATAGAGCAACACATGACTTTTGATAATTAAAAACTGAATTTATCAAAGGAAGACAATGAACAAAGGACTAAATAAAACAAGAATACATATATTTTAATTAAAAGGCAAATTAAAAAGTTGGGTCTTGAGTTGGCTCTTAATAAATATGAATATATCTGCCAAGAAGTACAAATCTGAGGTACTTCAGTTAACATATCTTCTTCTTAAAAACTCATCTTTATACTTTTAACCCACTTGATACTACATGAGTTACTAGCTAATTTGCAGATTAAGATTATATATACAACAAATTTCAATAGACTAACAAATTATAATATATTGTTGTAGGACAAGCTACACATCAGTATCTTAAAAAAAAAATAAGCTCAACTTTTACAACATTTAAGTGATAAACACATGAATGCATCAATAATTATCGCAAACTAATTATAATTGTATGATTCTCAAATTGGCAATGCTACTTCTAGTATATTTCGTATGCTTATATACTTTTGTACTTTTACTTAAGTATGAGTTTGAATGCCCAAAATGTACTCGTCACTGAGTATTTATACACCGTAGTATTTATACACCGTAGTATTGCTATTTTTACTTGAGTAAAAGATCGGAGTACTTCTTCCTCCTCCGGTATCAGCACAACGCAGTTTATATTTGATCGGATCAACATTCGCTAGTTGGCTAGTCCATTTGTCACCCAGGAGTCCATTTGTTTTATCTTTTATCTTAGAGGTAACCACAAAGCGATATTTAACTGAAAATACTAGGGAAATGTTTACTCAGAATTTTTCTTCCACACTTGCCCCTGCTAACATCTCAGTAAATGAGCTAGTAGATCATTTTAATTCAAAAATTAAAAATGTTATAGATGCCATTGCTCCAACTAGGTTAAAGGAAGTGACTGGGAAGAAAATATCTCCATGGAGAAAGGCCATGACCATGAAAACAGAAAAAAGAGAATGTCGAAAAGCTGAACGCAGGTGGCGAAAAACAAATCTCCAGGTTCACTTTGAAATCTATAAAGAGAGACTTGGCCTTTATAATTTGGAATTGAAAAACGCACGACAATCGTTCTTCTCTGACATCATTATCAAAAACAAAAACAACCCACGTGCCTTGTTTGCTACCGTCAACAGACTAACTAACCCCCCAGTGTCAGTAGCCTCTGAATTTCTATCCACAGGGCGTGCAATGATTTTGCCTCCTTCTTCACTGACAAAATTCAGAAAATCAGACAAGCAGTCAGTGCCTCTGCATCAGGTACAGCAAATGTGTTGTCTCTGTGTCCACCAATTTTGTGAATTGTCCATCAATTCAAACACCATGACACAATTCCATTAGATTAATGATAAAAACCTAGAGGACATTATTCAACTTCTGAAATCCTCCTCCTGCTGCCTTGATATTATTCCAACAGGATTTTTTAAAGATGTTTTGCCTTGCATGGCCTCAGATCTACTTCATATAGTAAACAAATCTCTTCACTCAGGTATTTTTCCACAGGCCCTGAAAACTGCAGTCATTAAACCGCTCTTAAAAAAGAATAATCTAGATCAGGGGTTCTCAAAGTTTTGATGAGTGAGGGCCAATTTAGGTACCCAATATTGGATTGAGGGCCGCCCAAGAAAAAACGGAACACAAAATAATTCCAAAACAAATCCTTTCTTTATTGTACTAACCAATTACCGCAACTCGCGAGATGCCTAGTTGCCATGCAACCAGTAGTCTAGCAAACTTTCCACAAGCTGTCATTCATAATTTAGGAATGACAACCCAGGGGGCGCAGTTTTACCATTCTTAACCCTCTGGAGTTACGGCCCGTCTACACTACAGGCGTCGAAAAAGCTTGAAGTTGGGCGTGTCTGAGGCTTGGCGATTTTTTGCGAGCAACGCGACCAACAACCAATCACATGAATCTCCCGCCCCCGACATACAAAGCAATAGCAATGTTAAAACGAAGTAAACTGGATATAAAATCCCCAAACAGGCGAAAACCTACCAGTTTCATCCACTGTCTCTGCCACCTCCCTCCATGCCTCGCTCCTCCGGTTTGTATCCCGGTAGATGAACAGAGACTGATCATACAGCACCGGGTGATTCACTACCGCTATAATGAATTATCCCTCCATTTTTTTGAATATGAGGAAATGACCTGCGTAGTCTCTCCCAGCATACACGCGGTTTGATTGGCTAGCTTGTACTGGCAGATTTGCATAAACGGGATTTCATTGGCTGACGCCAGCTTCGAGCAAGCATCGAACCTCAAAAGTTGAACATTGTTCAACTTTTGACGCCGATAGACGCTCGCGATGCTTGCAACGCCTTGCCATGCTACCCACAATGCAGTTCGGCGAAGTATTGAAAATATCCTACGTCACCCCATTCAAATGAATGGGCGAAGCGTTGAAAGCATTTTTTGACGCCTGTAGTGTAGACGGGCCGTGTATTTTCTCGATTTTTAGATGTTTTCTTAAATCACCTTTTAAATGTATTTCTTCTAACATGGCACCCCATTATGGAGGACGGAACATGACTTAAGTATAAATAAATAAATGTATGAAGAAATACAGGAATAAATAAATTACGTACATAAATACAGGAATAAATAAATAAATACGTAAATAAATAAATAAATACAGGAATAAATAAATGACGAAATAAATACAGAAATAAATAAATGTTGAAATGAATACACAAATAAATAAATAAAAGAATAAATGCATAAATAAATATGGAAATAAATACATCAATGTATAAATAAATAAATGTCGAAAATAAAACAGAACACACGTTATTATTATATATCTTTCATTTATTTCTACATTTACGCGACATACATTTATTTATTTATGTATTTATGTGTCCGTATGCTAATGAGGTGGGCGGTCCTAACCTCAGTCTGAAGCAGGATTCGCCAATTGTTGGAGCCAGGCAGAAGCAATAGATTTGTGGCAAGTCACATCATGTCGAGCTGAGCCAAGTCCTCTATACATCGTTCCACACGAAACTGGACATAGTCTTTTGGTTCTCCGTTCTCTAAATGGTCCGCTAATGATCGTAAATGATCTCCAATGGCTCTTAAATCAATATCCATAAATAAACCTTACAACTGTGGATAAACCATGGATGTATAAAGATAAGGGCTAAACAGTAAAGCTCCTGCATTTGAATCAGCGCGGTTATCCAGGCGTTAGTAGTAGAGCCCTCTGCCAGAAATGATCACACACTCCTGTAACCAATCCTGCTTCAGACTGAGGTTAGGACCGCCCACCTCATTAGCATACGGACACATAAATACATAAATAAATAAATGTATGTTGCGTAAATGTAGAAATAAATGAAAGATATATAATAACGTGTGTTCTGTTTTATTTTCGACTTTTATTTATTTATTTATACATTGATGTATTTATTTCCATATTTATTTATGCATTTATTTATGCATTTATTCTTTTATTTATTTATTTGTGTATTCATTTCAACATTTATTTATTTCTGTATTTATTTCGTCATTTATTTATTCCTGTATTTATTTATTCCTGTATTTATTTATTAATTTACGTATTTATTTATTTATTCCTGTATTTCTTCATACATTTATTTATTTATACTTAAGTCATGTTCCGTCCTCCATACCCCATGTGTTAAATATCAAAATGTTCAGGACAATCTCTGGTCTTGCTATATATGCATATTGCTCACCTTAGAGCACTGTTTGATGAGATAAGTAGCTCAAAAGTTTAAAATGTGAAATCCGATTTTTGGAAAATCTTCAAAACTCTTGCGAAAACACAAATTTACTCATGTGATCGAATTGTTTTGGTGTTTTAGATTTGGTTACCAAAGTCCTAGGATCACAAAAGCAGTGAAATATTTGAATTACACTGTATATAAATGTGTTATTCATGTCTAAAATGAAAAACATTAAATTCAAATTTTGAGTAAAATAGGTGTTTATCACTCTACTTTCACCACAGCAGGGACTGAGATACATCAGGACTGAATAATGACTTCATATTACATACCAAGGTTCATGTGATGTGTACAAATACAAATTGAGCATTCAACCTTTTTTTTTCAACCAACAATTTATTATAAATATGTTTTTTTCAACCAACTATTTATATAAATATAAGAAACTGGAAAATCTCACTATTTACAATATTGAACATCAGAACTTTCAACCAACTATTCATTATAAATGTCAAGACAGTGTCAAGGTCTTTGTCTGTCTTCCAAGACAGTGGGTCTGGCTGCTGTGAAGATGGGGGTGATGGTGCATGGGCTCCTGTATAGGTGGGGTGTACAAGTGCTATACGAGACCTCCACGAGACCTCCTTGCTGGCTGGGTTGAAGGTGATGGCTGTGGTGGAGCCTTTGTGCTGAGGTGTATCTTGACCTGGTGGCAGCCGCAGATGGAGGTGGAGGCAGCTGTAGTGATGCTGGTCTGCTGGTCCTTGGTGGTGATGGCTCTGGTGAAGGCCCTTGAGCCACAGTAGATCTTGACCTGGGGGCCGGCACAGATGGAGGTTGTGGCTGCTGGATAAACGCCGCCTGTGTAGGACAATAATTACAACTAATTTCATGGAAATAAAGTTCAAGTAAAATGTTGCTCAAGCACAAATAACAATGCACACGTAAAAATAAAGTTTGGGAGGTTGCAGAAGGAGTCTCTCTCGATCTCTCTCTCTCTCTCTCTCACACACGCACACACACACAGGTATTTCCAGTTACTTTACATTCAGTATAAAA